TGTCTCTCATACAATCACGGAGGACCAGGCGATTTTAAGTTTGAGTAGTAATAAAATAATAGAATAAATATAAAAAAAAAAATTATTATCTTCTTTTTTTTTTTTTTTTTTTTTTTAAAAAAAAAAAAAACAATCGTTCAACGGTTCCCCAATGCAACAATGGTGTGCGATAAAAAACTTTGGAATGATGACATCAACTGATAAGATGATAGACTAGATTAGATACCTGTCCCAATGCGGAATAAGGTGCTCGAATGAATTCCACATCGTGCTCTTTGAAAATCTTGAAGACGAAGTACGATAAGTCCGGTTGAGGAATGGACCCCGCTCCCCACACGCTAAAGGCGGATTCGATTCGATTCTTTTCGTAATCATCCCACGCGCGAGCTCTTTTCGTAGGTCTAGTATCTTCCGAAGAAAATGGTTTGTTTTTCATATTGATTCCATCATTGTATTACTACTCAAACTTAAAATCGCCTGGTCCTCCGAGATTGTATGAGAGACATGTAACTTACGTCGACTATGTATCATCTTTTATGAAAAATTAATTAATTAATTCTCGTGATTTTACAAGCTGGTGTATTTAGAGCGTCATCCCAAAACATACGTCCATTGCCTCTGCGGTGGACCAGAGTTGTTAATGTATGATGTTGACAGCGTCATCACCAACATGGATTTGGAGGTCGGTTATTGATCACCCATCAACTAGACATGATAACGAGTCGATTAATCAAAATTGTTTTCTCATTCAGAAAGGAACGTGCCTTTGGTTAAATAAGAAGAACATTCTCAATGATCTCACACTGACTGACGAGCAGTTCTTGGATGTTTGCATTATTGCCGGTTCACCGCTTAGCCCTGAGTTTATCAACTTCAACTTTAAAAGCGTCCACGATCTAATTAAACAACACCGAAACGGTTTCAGTGCTGTTCAGAGTTACGCCGCGGATCACGGTGGCGGTGTGAAGGCGAATTACATCGAAGCTTTCTGTCGCAATAGATGTGCCATTAAATATCACATGGTGTTGACGGATGAGGGGCAGGTTAAGCCCATGAATGAAGAATCTTCGCCTAGCGATATTCACGATATTATTGGCTATCGATTGCCTGATGAGGTGTACTATTATTTGTCAAGAGGGTTGATGTCTCCTCAGGTATACGCAAACTCTGTAAAGAAATTGTTCAACTCATTTGTGTTAAGGCAGCCTTTTCATACCGAACCGACAGGTTATCAACACGTTGATATCTGGTGTCTTAATAGAGAATCCTCCACTGTGCAACGGCGAAACGCAGGAGTACAGACAATTCCTCAATAATCTGCTTCCACTTCGTACGCAAGCCATGGGCTTGCTCACTCAGCCTCTGCATCCGTTCTATCAATCTAAGCGCGTCGTTAGCTTCTATTGGTTTGAACCTAGCACTGAACATATATTAAATCATAATGCTGCTCCGAGTGTTCATGAAGTATTGAACACTTGGAATGTCATGGAAAGGGGATTGGAGGAAGAGAAAAAGGCACAAAAGGTATTCCGAGTGCATTGTGTTGAATTGACTCGTGTATTAAAGATTATTATAGACCACCTGTTAATTATTATTATTATTTTGCAGACATCCACGATTGATCTTGCTTTTTGTCTGAGGGCGACAGTAACCTCGGAACAGGCTGCAAAAACAGTGATGCCAAAAGATAACAACAAGGCTTTGAGCTCCAGAGATGAGATATGTGCGAACGTTTTGTGGAAACTATTGGAATTAAGAGAGTAGGTCCAGATGTGCGTCACGTTTATATATATATATATACGTATATATATATATATATGTATCTACTTTTTTTGTCGCCCAATGTAACCGAAACGTGCGCGCACGTAGATTTTTGACACACTCGCAGCACACTCATACCGTATGGGGAACCGCCTTCCACAAGGCCTTTAGTGCATCCAAGTCTAATAGGGAGTCTCATCAGGAACAATTATTCATCGCTCTGGAGTTGATTAGATTTGGTTGCGTTCACGGTAACCATTACAGCAAAGCGTACTACTCTGCTCCGAGCAACGTTAGCGGTATGCACGCTGATCTTTATAATTAAATCGACGTCAAGCATAGTTGGATTAACTGGAAATTCGTTATTCTTCATATAGTAATATTAAATTATTTTACTTTCCAGATGAGGATAAAAAACACATTCTCCTAATTTCCAGGACGCTCAGCCTGATGCCCGCTAAATTTAAGGTGGTTCCACGTTTGCATTTAGATTTCGGTCCGTACTGGAAACCTATTGCTTATATGAAACGCGACTTACATTCTAGTGTTTTGTACTCAGGGTATTCCTTGGGTTGGTCCCCTTTGCCGAGAGCTCTTGGCTTTTAACAGTTTCGTAAAAGTGTTGAACCGTTCGTTGCGGAATCTATGCGAGATGTTAACGTTGTCGATGTTTTTAAACGGCGACTGTGTGAAAGAAAGACAAGATTATCTTGACATCGCGTTGAGGTTGGTTTGACGATCCCATCATTGTCATCGTGTCATCTTATAATTCTAATCCGTTTGTTCATGGATGTTGAATTATTACGTAGCCTACCGTTTTTGTGCGATGTGAACACTGGAATGGGAATAATAGCAAAGATCTACTTGGAAAACGTCATCGCGTTTTCAAAAGAAGGCGACACTAATAAGGGCTTGAGCAGTTCGTGTATAAATGAGGCGCTCAAGAAAATTGAAGAGATCTTTACGGCATGCATCAGTGCAAAAGCAGACTTGGAGAATGGTTTATCGTTTTGGGATGAGGTATATAATCTTCAAGGTCCAATTCGTCCCTCCCTTGACATTACATTGGCATCTCTTACATTATTTTTCCCATGATAGATTATGGTTGCGATAAAATTTCTCAAGGCGAATTCGGCCATTCCGAACGAGATCTCATCCCAATTCATTAGCGCTAATACGTGGCTGTCTTCAAGGCGACCTTAGTTTTCATCGGATGATGCTTTAATTCATCATATAGTTGATCATTTTCTTTTTCAAATTTTTGCATTTAATTTCTCCTTTATTGGCAGCTTATTTAATCCAGAGTTAATTCTGTCATCTTATTGGTGATTTAAATTGGGTCGACTTATCATTTATAAACTCGAGTAAAAAATTTTACTTCTTCATTTAGTTAGTTAAGAATAATCGGAACTTAGATTTTAGCGCGAATGAAACCCCCTCCCTAAATAACAATAATAATATAAAATTCGAATCGATTTTGGTTTCCCGATAATTACTATATAATAGTACGAGTAATCTCGGTTCGCATCTTAGAATTCCATTATAAACTAGTGTGTACATACAAGATGACTATTAATGCGCGAAAATTTGCTTCAAAGAAGAGAGATTGCAGTAAAATTTTCCGTGACCTAAATTGCGTTTCACTCATTGAAAATTCCATGGGAACTGGATGTGTGTACACTTTACCGCTTGATCAGTGGATAAATTGGGTCGTCGTTTATAAGTAACCGATTACCATGGTCACACTGGGTAGTTGCCTCAAGTAAAAACGAGGAACTAATTTACAGTATATCGAAAAGTAGATTATTTTTGGGAGGATTGATAGGAGCTGTTTGCTTGACTTTTACCATTGGTCATAATCGGATGTAGTCGTGATTGTATAAATAAAAAAACTATTTCATTATAAATTTCCAAAATCAAATATTTAAATTACAAAATTACAACTCGAATAGGAATATTTACAATATAGTTTTACAATAATATACTGTATTATCAAAATTTTATACATTGCACTTTGCGATCTTACATTTGATCATTGTAAAAAAAAAAGTTGTAAACTTTGTAAACCTGAAAGAATTTAAAAAATACACAACCTGAACCTTTGAATAACAAAACTTCTTTAGTTGGAGGTCACGTAATCGGAGGAAGTTGGTGTGGATGCCGTGCAATAACGATGGTCAAATCGAAATTTGATTATTTTCCCCCCAAAAACACACAGCATCATGGTATATTGATTAAAATACATGTAATACATGTGAAATATCTTGATTTGTATTATGGTACAGTATACTTTTGTAGTTTCAATTAGAATTATAAAAGCATATCAATCAATTATAAGTAACAAGAACAAATTTAGACTATATACAGCATAATAAGGAAATACTGTAAAATTCAAATATCGGTTATTAGTATAGGACATAGATATTATGGCGCATATACTGTATGTATTACAGCGCATTTGGGGTCAAAGTATTTTATTATTCCGACCAGGACTACAAGTGCGTAAGTATGATTCCGGCCGGAATTATAGGTGCGTTAAATTCAAACATGGTTTGCCAAACACAAAGGTACTGTACACGTACAGTATATTCCATAGATAGATCAGCCAGTCGATGAGACGTTCTAGTTTCTAAAAATGCTATTTTTTCACGACGGAATCCAAAAAAAAATAAGAAGGTAGGGTGCTATTCGAAAGCGAAATCAAACAATTCGATTTTGCAGTACAGTTTTAAGTGTTTCCGAGTTATGTATTAAAATCCTCGGGTTTATGCATATAGCAATTGGAAAGGTGGTGACGTGACAAAACCTGTCGCTGATCGCGATGAATAACACCAATTACATATTCTGAAAGTGATTAGCAAAAAGAATGCCTCGAAACGGTATCGTGATCTTGTTTCAACATCTAAACTTTGTACATCAAGATGCACATCACCGAAATAATTTGTACTACATCGGTGCATATTTATGCGGTCTATATTTTGAGGAAATTAAAACTTTATCTTGATTAGATTATTTCATTTGTGGAATGACAAAGTACTTTTTTCATATTGATATTCATTTCTTGCCATGGAGGAGATTGAATCGAATGAACATAATATAATCGAAGAACGTCCCGATGAGACAATTATTTTGAACGTCGGTGGCGTAAAGGTAAAGGGTACATTGTGAGTTTACATTTTCTCGTTCTTCGCTATATCGTATTGATGGTTTCTCCATTTACATTCAAGTATGAAACCTATCGTTCCACGTTGACAGGTTACCCGGAAACTTTTCTTGGCACGATGTTTCAAGAGAGGAACCGAGAATTGTTAAATCCTAGGAACGGCAATGAATACTTTTTTGATCGTTCAGGACAGTTATTTCATTATGTCATGCAATTCTATCGAACCGGAAGAATTTGTTATGGAGAACAATGTAGGTGTTAAACAAAAGGTTTGTCGGTATTTACTTTGTTCATTAACATATAAAAAATTTTTTTTTCATTTCTCACCAATATACTGTAACAAACTTTACCAATGTCAATATAGCAGGACCAACACAAATCAGCATTAAGGAGATAGAAACGGAATTAGATTACTTCCAAATTCCGCGCCCCACGGCATCAGCCATAGATAAGATTGCCATAGCAAAAGTGGGAGATCTAATTGATACGTTCAAACAGTTGATTAGTAAAGTATCGGAAAATTACATGAAGGAGGCGTCATTCAAGGGATTCAAGGCTGACATTGACATATTGTTCTTGGGCAACGGTCAAGCCACCGTGCATGCAGGATTAGAAAAGACAAGCTTAACCGACATGTTTTTGGCCACCAAGGAATACGCCTATGATATTATGTCATTATACAAATATGAAATTAAGGATCATCTGGAAAACGAATATCCCGAGCTAACTTGGGTACACCAACATCATAGCGGTCAGGAATTGCCATATTGGAAGATCAGAATTTCTATATCCTGGAGTTTAAATCACGAAAGGATTTTGGCCAACGTCTTAAATATGTAGATTCGTTCACTTCTTTTATCGACACAAGCACGATTTGAACAACGCATGACTTCAAAAGTACCGATTGAATTTATGGCGACCGCAAAATTTTAGATCGAAAGAAATATTTAAAATTTGCAATATACGAATTTTATAGAGATTTTGTAAGTTAATAGAATGAATTCAAATTTAAACCAATCGGATTAAACTTGATCTTTAAATACAAAAATTCGATAACATCTAATGTGAAAATCTGAATTTTTTATTTTTTTTTTTTAGCCCACCTTCAGGCTATTGTTTGTTTATATAAGAGAATTATTTCTTGTACATAAATTTGAATTAAGTTATTATTGCATTTACTTAAAACAAGCATGTCTACACAAATATGCAGAGGCGACGAAAAAAAAATAAAAAACAATCGATCATTTTCTATGGCCAATCTTTATTTTGATATCGATCATATTCAATTTACAATATGGTTTCGCATCTTAATTTGAAAATCCTGTCATTTAACATATGTAAATAAATAATAATGTGAATTTTATTATTCGAAACACATTGGTTTATTTATATAGTTCCAATAATAAAAATTTATCTTACAAAATAATCATTAATTTATTTTAATTTATTTTTTTTAGATCATAATGGCTTATCACCTTTATTAATAAAAAAACCAATATATAAAATATCAAAATTTTTGCACAAATATAGTTAATTTGACATTGATATGATTATTAACTTAAACCTATGGATCAATAATATAGCGATGATTCTCTTTAATTATTGAATATAATATTATTGTAAAACAATATTATCAAAGCCAAAAGATTATATATTCTATAATAAATATTTAACCATCTATAATTAAAGAATTTTGTTTAATTTCATAATTATAAAAATGACAAAATACTTGAATTGATTTTGATATTCAGGTTATCTTATTATTTCAAAAAAATTTTTTAATTCTAATAAATAAATAAAAATTTGTAACTATAAAAATAAAAAAATTAATAATAATAATAATAATAAACTTTTTTCATTGATTTTCAATTTCCTTAAAAAAAATTTTTTTTTTTGATAATTTTATTGAAAAATAAAAAAAGTCAGCTTCATACATAAGAAAACACTTTTACACACAACATCCTCAACTTTCAAATAAATTTTAAAATATTTACAATCAATTGTTAACAAATATCAAGTATATATAAAAATTTTTTATCTGTTCTATACATAGTTTCTCTTTTTACAAAAAAAAAAAATACAAGAATATTAATTCACAGTAAACTTTTTGAGACCCAATCTCAACTTTACAAGCTCTTAACCAGGTTAATGTAAGATAATATCTTTTTTAACACTAAGAGAAGTCTTGCAAACAATAATTCAAGCTGATAAATTAATTTAAGCTCAAGATTTATAATATTTAAGAGAATATTCAAACCTTTTTTATTCAACAGGATAGAGTTTTAAAACAATACAACAATTAATTACATCTCAAATATGTTATATGAAATCTGAAATATTTGTAATTTTATAATAACAAGCTTATGTAACAAGCAAAAACTTTAAACAAATATATTTTTATTTATAATTTCCTGTATTATATCTATTTTTAGATTTGATAAACAAGAGTTAATCATCTCTAAATATAATCTGCAATAGCAATTACAGTTATTTATTTTTTATTACACATGAATTTTAAACTACACAATTTATTTAAACAATTAATAAGTTTTTCTATATTATATAATTTAGGTGTATTAATAAAAAAATATAGAATAATACAAATTACAAAAAAAAGAAAATCATATAAAATAAGTATACTAATTTGACTTTTAAACAAATTTAATTAACACTAAAAACTTTGAGTAATACAAACTATTTTCAATATAGTTACTACTTCAGAAACTATGCAAAATCCTATCTCTGAACCAAATAAATATTTAATTTTGAACAGTATTATTGCTCAAATCCTAAATGTTAATTAGATCATCTTTGTTGAGACTACAATTTTCAAACAATATATTTTATATCTGTGAATCCAAGAATAAGAAAAAGATGAAAATATTTTAACTCTATATAGTATCTAGAAAACAAATATTTTTATATAATTAAATAAAAGAAACAATTACAACAAATATACAAGATATCAATAGCTTAATCTATAATGAAAAGTAATTTTTATAATATAAACCTATGAAATAATATGAAAATTTAATTAACTATAACAATAAAAATTCTTTATAATACTGAAATAGAAATAGTTAACAAGAAATTAAAAGACCTAATAGAAATAAAAAAAATTATAAAAAAAATTAAAAAAAACAATATTGTAAAATAATTTATCTATGAAACAAGAAATAGATTATTACTATCTAGTATTAATTTCTTCTATATTTAAAAAAATAATAAATACAAAATAGAAATTCTTATATTAAAACTTCTAGAAGAATCTGAAAATGAAAAGATAAAATATCTTTAAAATGCATTAAACCTGTCAAAAGATTTTCAATTCTTTAAAAAAAACTTTCCCAATAAAAATGTTTAAACTATATTTTGTTGTAAAAAAAAAGATAATACATTGTAATACTTAAAAAAATCAATAAAAAAAAGGAAGAAAACTTTATCGTCATTTCTTTAGATATAGAAAAATAGATAAATTCCAAGAATCTGATATACAAAAAGATTTTTCAGCAAAAAATAGAAAAAGACAAATTCTTATTAGTAGTCACTTTAGTTGATATTAATCAAAATCATATATATCAAGTAATTAAAACTGCTCTTTCAAAATATAGAAATATAAAAATATCTATATTTGTAATTACTTTTATTTTTAATGAAGAATAAAAGCTTATATCATAATTCATTAATAGTTCAAGGATTTAAAAGAGAAATGAATAATTTATATCAATAAGAAAACTATTAGGATTATCTTTATTCAACATGAATCAGATAATAAAGAAATTAATTAAATTATCAGATAGCATAACTCTTAGTCTTTAAAACTATATGATACTTATAATACTATTACTAGTCTGATTGCTCAAGCAGTTAGATGTACCAAAGTCAAAGTATGCTTTATTTCTAGAAATCCACTTACACTCAGAAAATAAGACTATACTATTATATGTTTTGCATTATTGCAAGATATAGAAAAAGCATATCTTTATATATAACTAAAACCTATATAAAGTATCAAAAAATACTTTAGAAAATAATAAGATCTGTTATCTGACAGATAATACTATAAAACAATTTCAAAATTAAATAATAAATTAATATAATCAGATACAGAACAAATAGATAAAGAAATAAACTATGGGTCAATAGTGCAGTGGTTAGCACTCCATAGGTCTGATCATAAGATACAGGTTCAAATTCTTCAGATTGTAATATCTGAAGTTGGTAAAATCTACATCTGTTGGCCTAATTGTATCTAACTGATGTTTCTGAATATAACTATTTGTCATAAAGGATTACTGGAGAAAATATCTATTAATAAGTAGTACAGTCTATATACGAATTGTGATCAGCTGTGATATCCAAAATCAGCTAAGATTATCCTGATATTACTAGTTACTATATAGAGTCAATATAGTAATGAACATAATAGTAGATTCCTAAACTGGTAGAATGTCACTGATAATCAAGCATTAGTCTTTGTGCCACTTACTGACTTAACTATCAGGAGCCTTAATGGGAAAAAAATCTGTGGACCGCTCCGAAAGACTAAAATATCAGATCCAGAATACTGTATTCGATGGCTTGATAACCTACCTACTCTGATATAAAAATATGTAGAAAATAATTAAGATGGAATCATGTAGTTTTCTATTGAAGTTGTACTTATACATATATAGTATAATCAATATAGTTAGCCATATATATGATAGTTTATTATAATAGTTAATATATATAGTGCTTATTTGAAAATGTACACAGTAGACACATTATCCCTTTCTTTGTCTGTACAAGTACATATGACCATGATTCTAACTCACTGAATAACTCAAATAAAAACTATAGGACTTGGTTAGACATACAGTAGTAATAACCTACTGGCAATGATGCAGTGAACTAGGAGGATTATTATCCAAAGACATTGCAGAGTAAAATATTGTTCCCAAGGCTGAACTTAGAGGCTTTTATACTTAAGACAAGTTAGTTAAATTAGAATAATAGTTTAGCTGTAATATGTATCATGCTGTTCGAATAAAAATGTACTTATGTTTTCAATTGATTAATAAACTAACAATCTAGCTTGATTATGGATACTCAAAAAAAAAACAAAAAACAAATAGATAGAGAAATAGTGAGAACTGATATTAAATACAATAGAAGATCCAGATAGAAACTTAACTTTTTTTTTAACCCGCAGTCAGGTCAGTATGGCGTATCTTTATTGTATATATGTTAAGTATTTACAAATTGTTGTGACTTTCACATACTGACTCACTCATCATCGAAAAAACTATTTCTCTAAATGCAACCTAGGGAATGATATTTCGCTCCTTTACTAATTTGGATAA